TAACTCTAATAAGCGCACAATCACGTCAGAATTACCAGCACGAAACGCAATCATCGTAAAAAATCTATAAAATGACGCAGATTTCAAAAATTTTGGCTATTCTTAGTCCATTATTTCAATAATTCCCAATTTGTTTTTCTTGTCCTAATTTTTTATTCACTTTCATTTTATAATAAATTAAAATCTGTCACAATTAAACAAAATATGAATTAATTTGTACGACCTCTAAATAACAATGAATTATTATTCAAGCAGCGCGAAATATGCAATTTAAAATTCTATTGCTATTATTAAATTGTGCACATGGTCTAGTAATAGACACCTTAAAGATATAATTGCTTTTCAATGTTTGTCAGTTTAATTTCATTATATAACAATCAATGTCAACAAGAGAATTTAAGAGACAAAAGTTTTATTTTCAAAAAAACCTTGACATCTATTTGCTCAAATTCCATTATGATCATCTTTCAAATTAAATTGTTACATAATTGACCATAAAAAAAATAAAAACCTACCGTTTCCAATTTCCTACTGGGTCCATAATAGTACATGAGGATCACCACCAAGAGCAAGGAGATAACAGCGACCAAAACGAAGGCAATTGCCCTTTTGGTGGTAACAAAACAGCCCCCATTTCTGTGATATCTGATATCGTCGACGGAGTCTTCGGCCAAAAATTCGGACCTTGTTGACCCAACACCTCCACGACCCATTTTGACCCAACACTAAGGTGCGACTGATGCAGCAGGTGGAGTGGAGGAGGAGGAGGAGGAGGAGGATCCTTACCTCAATGCTAAATCACATGATTTTTACTACAATTCTTTCAATATTTGCTGGTTCTCTTATCGAACTTTTTGCTTCTGGTGCTAATCGGTGAAGAATTTTTTCTTCTTTCGCACTCAATAATTAACACAGTTGATGATATATTATTATCATAAAGTGGTGGCAATTAAAAATTATGTTTCAAATTTTCGAATTTGTGTTTGTTTTCGAATTATGTAATGAGTGGCCTTGGATATGGTCAATTAATTCTTGTGAGATTGTAACCTGTAATCATGCACTTGACCCGTATCATCTTTGTGTGTTTTTTTTTTATTATTTGCATGTGGATGTGGGTCAAAACGCATAATTTATTCGTAGGTGTTGGTTTTTGCAAATTTATTTCTCTCAGGTTTTTACTATTTGTGTCAGAATGAATATAAAATTTGATTTAAGTGATGATGAAACTCTGATGTAATTTTGGTCATAATGGATTGTGACTACTAGAAATGGTGCCAGAATAAACGAGTCTAAACGAGTCTAATGTTTAATTAAATGTCATTATTATTGAATTCTTGAGGCAAATTTGTGAAAATAAAAACGTGACTTTAGTTTTTTTTTTTTTTAACGAAAACAGTAATATTGCAGAGTTTATACCAAAAACGCTTGAAATACGGTTTTCTAGACGTAAAATTACGATGCAACAAGTTAAAATACTCTGCGATGCATAGTTTTTGAGATATTGAGTAATAAAGTTAAGAATAAGGCTAAAAGTACTATATCCGATTTTGACCAAAAATTAACATTTTTTGATTCTTATGAAAAACTAGTACTATATGTAAAATTAACCGGAGAACACGCCTGTATAAACCCTGTTGACCTAAGACTCATAGTTTTTGAGATATGAATTTTTTTTTGAAAAAATTAAAAATGCCTTTGTACCCGGAACCATAACCCGGAGCGACTTCCGGTTTGCGCCAATAAATAGATAATTTCAAGCTACTTTTAATGGTTTTTAGCTTTTTGCTTTAAATCTTATAGTTTCRTAGAAAAACGCGTTTAAAGTTTCACAATTTTGACAATTTTGACTTTTTGAACTGCGATTACGGYCAAACTATTAGACTTAGAGCAATCAGTCCAACTCCATCGTAATCAGCGTAAGAAAATCTATCGACTRAGGCCAAAGCCAAGTCGATATCTCTCAAAAAAAATTTGAGTTTTTAAACGCCGATTACGGCGAAACTAATGGAGATAACCCAATGTGGTTGGTAAATTCGTAATTAGCGCGTCAAAATCTATCGGATAAGATAGGTTTAAAWCGAATCTGAGACATGTTCAAAAACACWAKWTTTTAAGGGGGGGGGTGTTGACAAATTTTTACTTTTTTTTATTTTGTAAATTGCGGCAAAACTGTGCCTCAATGATATAATACTTTGACCTAAACCTATGTAAAATGTTCCGGGGAATCGATTGGCGTCAATTAAACTGCAAAATTCGTAGTAGTTTTGAAGTTATAGTCGGATTTAAATTCTCGATATTTTTGACTTTATCAGAAATTTTCTCGATAACTATTTATCGTAGAACACTGTTCTTCTTTTTATATGATAGAAAATTAAATTTGCTTTCCAACGGTACCAAATATAAGAGGTTATCTCTAATAAGTCCGGAGTTATTGCCAATAGACCGCTCCGGGTGCCAAAAAGCGACCAAAATCTCGACAAAAATCAAAAAAAAATTATCTTTAAAATTGATCTATTTTACGTTTTTTACATTTCTAGAGGTCTTAAGGACTCAAATAAATGCATAAAACGACATTGGGTCAAGTTTCAATTTTTTTTTAACTTAGATAAATCGAATAGTTGAAACAGGTCATATTAGATAATCTCCCATTTTTTTTTTAAGTCCCACTTTTTGCAATTAAGCTTTGGGGCCCTTATGGTTTTATTTAGAATCAAAATTAACACTTACTGGTAATTTTTGGTCGGGCCAAAATTTCATAAATTTTGCAATTTTTAGAACCTTAAAAGTCTCTCTACGTCTATAATATTAATTGACAAGATTGAAAAAATCACAAGATTCAAATGGTGAACAGTCGACACCAAAAAAAAAAATTATTCTGACAAATTAATTCAATATCTCGGTTTTTATTTAACAAAAAATCTCAAATTATGGAATTCTCTCCTTCATTCATAACCCTACTACATGACCTAAAACAAATTGCATTGTAAAAAAAACACTTGGGGGTGAGTTTTTCAAACTAAAAATAACCCTATCGTGTCACCCCTCATACATCTCAGCTGAAAACATAGATTATAAAAATATAAAATGAGGTAGGTATTTTATTTTTCCTAAGCGAGATACGAAAACTACCATCGCCAAAATCAAATTTGACTAAACCATTCGATGGAAAATTTTATTCCGCATCTTTTTTAACATACATAATTTTTACGTGCGACTCTTACTTTTTGAGATATTCACGTTTGAAATTTCCTGATTCGAATTTGCGCGCCTTTTGTATTTTTTTAAAGTTGGTGATAGTCAGCATAGATACGAGCATTTGTGTATTTTTAGTTGCATAAGTGGTGGGGTTTGGAAACCCGTTTATGGGAATTAAAACATAATTGATATTTATTTTACGAATTTTGGCCTGTGACCAAATAAAAAGTAATTTTTTTGTAGTGTAAACAGTGCTTGTTTATGTTTTATTTTTTGAAATAAATTTTTTTATTTATTTTAATTTTTTTGTCAAAAAATCTAAGTCGTGTTCTGATTGGTCGGTTTTCAAAGTCGGAATTGATTGAATTTTTTACTTTTTATTGCCTCTGGGGTTGGCTCCACCCATTGTGATTTGTTATAATATTTCGATTCAGAATTCAATAATTATTGGGGATTTTTTAAGTGGGTGGAGTTACTTATCGATGCTAGGTTTTTGACGGATTTTGACCAATAAGAAATAAAAACCGGTTTGTTCTCCCACTAGTGGTAATTACGTGAATGTGAAATGATTATTATTGGCCCTTAAATTAACCAATCAAATTCAATTATGCAAAAAAGTGTAAAAATCGAAAAAGATAACTTTATTTTTAAAAATATTTATAAAATGAGGTAGGAAAAATCTGTCTAAAATTTAAAATTTTCACCCAATTTTCATAATATTTTCAGTGCGATTTGAAAATAACCCCGCCGTCAGTCTTAATTAAAATCAGTCATTCTATCAATAATATTATTGACTGCTTCCACACCGGTAGCACCTAATTTACAACTAATTTGCCTGTTGTATTTTAAGTGCATAATGACCCCTCTTATTGAGATGACTCTCAGTGGTCTAAAGGGAGTAAAGTGCACACTTTTATATCATTGAAACAATTTTAAAGGAATGCAAAACAACATTAACTTATAGTGCAGCACAAGGAACATATGTGTTGGGACTCTTACTTTACACAAATTAAAACAAGTAAGTCACTTTATTTATTTTTTTAATCATTACAAACTTTCTCAACCAAAAATGACATAAACAACATGAAATAGAAACAACACAAATCGTTGAAACGTTGCAGTGACACAAAACACGAAAAAAAAGCACAATTTTCAAAATGGAAAGAATCAAGTCCAAAAACCCAGGGAATCCCAAGAACAGAAAAATTTCTACTTTAAAATTAATGCGTTTCTAGAGATGCTAAAAACTCAAAAAAGTGCATAAAATGTTATTGGGTTGAGCTTAAAAAAATTTGAATTTTTTGAAGTTTTTGAAATATTGAGTAATAAAGTTAAGAATAAGGCGAGAAAGCACTATTTTGACCAAAAACTTGTAAATTTAGTAGCGTTTTTTACCAGGAAACTCATTAAATGTCTTATTTTTGTTCATTTTCCAAGATTTAGAGCACTTTTCCTGCGAAATTAAATGAGTTTGAAAAGATTTTCCAAAACAATGAGGCATGAAATTGTAAAATTAAGTCTGAAATACGGTATTTTTTGAGTCATTAAGAGTTTTTTCAAAAAACTCAATATTCGTGAGATTTTACCAAAACTAAGTAGGTAGGGATTTAATTATTTTGATAAATTTAAAAAGTTTTATTGAAGAACTTAATAATTTTGCCGGAATAAAGCAGAAAATTGCGAAATTAGGTGTAAAAAGTTTTATTTTCACTTATTTCGATACGTTTAAAATATTTTTTTAATCAAGAAACTAAATAAATTTAAAAAAAAATGCAAAACAAGGCAATAAATTGTAAAATTGGCTCTGAAATACGTTATTTTTTTATGATATTAGGAGCATTTTTCACCTAGAAACTTACTAAATTCCTGAAATCTTGCGACAACAAAGCAAAAAATTACAAAATTAGTTCTGAAATGCAATATTGTTTCTCATCTTGTTAAATAAAATTTGTTGTTGTTATAATTTTGACATAATTTTTGAGAGAATTAAAATTAATTAAAATTAAAATTAGGGGCATTTTTCATCTAGAAACTTATAAACTCCTGAAATCTTGCAACTACGAGGCAAAAAATTACAAAATCCGTTCTGAAATGTACTGAAAATTCGTAAAAGTTTTGAAGTTATAGTCGAATTTATATTTTTGATATTTTTGACTTTATTAAAAATTTTCTCAAAAACGATTTATCGTAGAACACTGATCTTTTTTTATATATAACAGAAAATTAAATTTGCTTATTTTCTAAATAATTTTTTTTTTCGTAT